GCTGCCACAAACAATGGCATCGGAAGTAGGATGCACCGCATGTGCCGTTTCAGACATGGACAACTCTCGCGTTCCCTTGTCAGCCAGCTGCATCATATGAGCGGCCGCCTGTATGAGTCTGAAGAAGCCAATCAGGTCTTGAAGCAATACATATAGCAAATCTATGAGCAAGATCTCTGGGCGAATAACCCGTGGCCAACTGCGCCGGCTGCCCGCGTCGGCGCTGGACATCCTTGCCGCCGCGCTCCTGCAGCGCGTCAGCCAGGAAGACGCAGCGACCAGCTCGTAATGATGTGCCCACTTTCATCCAGGCATCGATTGAATAGCTCGGTCCAATGCGCCCTCGCCCTCCGAATGTGCCTGGCCCGCGGCGCCGCCGCAGTCCACGCTCTGGCGAGCGGCACACGCTGAAACCTCCGGCGCTGAATATGTTATTTGACTTCCACCATCGAGGTGCGCATCGGACCGCCCATGCCTTGGCGCGGTTAGCGCACTTATGAACAACGCCATACCCCCCAAATCTATCTATCTATATATATATATATGCATCAATTTCAAAACCTGCAACCACAACGTCCCAGGCATGCTGCAACCCAGGCTCGCCCGCGACGTGGATTGCAATATCTGGCGCGTCATGCCGTGGCACTTGCGGTCTTGAGAATATGGTGCTGGGTCCTTCCGCCACTTGCGTCTGCTCAATCGGCATCCTCGCCCAGCATTCATTGTGCCCTTGCAGAGCGGTTAGGTGAACGGGGTCATGGACAGGTATCGCCGACGCAGCGTCAACCTGTGGAGCAGTTGCCACATTGTCCGACACCACATAGCAATGGTACGCGGGGTCTTCCTTGCATTCATAGCGCGACAGGTGATATAAGAAGGCGTAGTCGACACAGCCCTCAATAGATGCAGCCACGCCTGCCAATCATAGGTATCCGCTGTCAAATCCGATCGCATCCGACAAGCCCGCACATGCCCAAGTCGTTCAGGCGACCCAAATCATATACAAGGGCGCGCCGTATTTCATGACTCGAATCACCAATCCCAACATAATCCTCGCAACGCGCATGGATAGCTACCGCGCCAACAACCATCCCCAACGTACTCTTGACTGCTGCGAATCGCCCTTCACGTAAGACAGGATTCGCAAGCCGCGGGGGCTGTGCGACGGCGATATACGCGAGGGTCACCACCGCCACCCCAGAATAAATATCTCGCTGCACAGTGCGTATGGCTGGCGCAAAATACTATGATCGCCCATGTCCTCGAGCGCGAACCGTAAACCAGGGAGAGCAGCATCGTCCACCTTGTGTTCCTGGTCCATGACAATGGCCGAGCGACGCGCTTCCACGCGCTTGAGAAGCGGGCCAGCTTTGTCAACGTCCAAGGTAGTGACCTGACCTTTCGCCTGCAAGCTGCCGCCACCTCCCTCGGGATGATATTGGCGACGTTTCTCCTGGCCGCGTGTTTCGCCGCGCTGGGCGGGGGGGGGTGCCTTCTCAGTCGCGCCGGGCGGGCGGGATTGGCCTGCGGCTTGGAGACGCGAGGCGCGCCCCCCAGGTGCAAGTTCATTATCCGTCCCTACCATGCTCTGACAACAACCCACGGCGCTGCCCGCGTCGGCACTTACCTTCTCGATGTCGAGGCAAACTGCCACTGCTGCCATCCGAGTAGACCCTGCCATTTTACCATCAATTCTCACCATCGTCTTGCTGTAATCAAACTTGGCAAGGGTGCGAATTAGGACAGAACGCTCTCTTCGACCCCGATCGCCAAAAATGCAATCGATTCGCAACCAGCCGGAAAACGCCGCCCCCGGCGTCTTCCTCGAGCGCAATCCCTGCCTGCACCCGCTGTTCACGCAACTTCTCGATGTCCGCGCCCCGCGCCGACGCCGACGCAGGAGCTGACGGAGCCGACTTCCCCTGAGAAGGTGCTCGCACTGGTGCGCTGCGCGCTGGCACTTGATGCTCGCGCGGCTGCGGTTGCTGTTCGCCATGCGCCATGTCCGACCGATCCGAGCCCAGCGCCAGAATCTGCGCATTGGCGATGAGAGCCGGCAGCTCTTTGGCGATCTCCTCGGCCAGGGGGCCTCGCCCGCGCCGAGCTGCTTGAGAATCGCCCCCGCTCTGGCGCAACCGCATCCAAGCGCGCCAGCGGTGCCTGTTACGTCCTGAGCGCGCTCCCGTTGCGGCGGATGGATAGCTGCCTTGGCCAAATCGATCTGCTTCTGGCGGAGCACCTTGCACTTCTGCCCTTGTCGGCAAGATCTCTGATCGGCATCTCCACTTGCTGCTGCAATTCAATGATGCGCGCGCTGCAGCTCAATGGCATGTTTGAGCTTCGCGACCCGCTGAGACTCAGTAGCCACCTGTCGGTTGACCGAGAGCACCTGAGCTGATACAACACGGCCTCCTTCTCTGATCTGAAAGACTCGCGAAGTCATGCCCATTGAAAACTATTGAGACCTTGCCTGTCGGCTCGGGCGGCTCGTCCAAATCATGTATGCGCGCGCGAATCTTGCCTTCATTAGACGACTATTTGCCACGCACCATGTCCACATCGATCGCCATCTCCTCAGCCTTGGAACAGCCCGACTTGCTGGCTGCAGCCTCCTGCAGCTTCTGAATTCGCAGTTGGGCTCCTTTGAGCTGGCCAGCGAGATCAGAAGGCTTGAGCTCGCCGCCTGCCTTGGAACCGCCACGAACATGTTCGGCATGATATGACGGCTCGGCATGTGGAGCACGCCTTTGGAAACATGCGCCCTTGCTTCGCCGACACTTGAAACAACTGTCACGCGTCGGCTCGTTGAAGAACCGTTCCCCGTCGGGGGGGGGGAATGGTATCGCCACGAACGTAGATCACCCCCGTCCTGCTGCTTGTTGGAAATCGCTGCGCACAGAATACAGTCGCACAAGCCAAGGAGCCTTGCCAGGGGCGAGACCGTGGTGAAGCTGGCCCTGTGCCGAGAAGGCTCGCTGTCACCCAGCCGCTCTGAAAACCAGCGGCAGCAAGCTCAAGCGACAACTGCCCGAGCCAGAGCGGCCGGGAGGACGGGGGGAGGAGGACAACGAGGGGGGGAGGGGGGAGGAAGAGGAGGAACAGGAAAACACCTCGCCTCTTCCTTCCCCCCCCCCCCTTGCCCTCCCCCCCTGGATGGGGGGAGGCGGATTGCGCCATCCCGGGCCCGCGCCCGGCCCTGCGGCCCGCGGGCGGCCCCCGGAGGCCGCGCTGAGAGAGGAGGCCCCGCCGAGCGACAAGGATCTATCGTTTGGAGATCTGGGGGGCCTCCTCGTCGCTCTGCCCCGCATCGTCGGTGGAGCCCCCCCGGCCATCGCTCGGGGGCCCCAACTGCACACAGCAGAGCTCGACGCCGCGAAAAGCCGCCGACCCGATCGGCGTGTGTGAGGGGGCGTGTCCGTTCGATTCGTCTCCGCTTCCCGCTTCCGTCGCCGCTTCCCCCCTTTTCCCTCAGCCCGAACGAAATGGATCAAAGCTGTAGTTTAGTCGAAAGGAAGCCCCTTCCTGTTGATACTCCCCCCGGCGGGAAGGGGGGGGGGTCAGGGGGCCCCGGAAGGTGATGCGACGCCCAACCGGGGGCCCCGGAACCCAAACAGAACCCAACAAACGCCAAAATTACATCAAAAAGATCTGCAAGATCTTCCAAGAGGGCTCCGAATCGCCGAACGTTCTGCCCATCGCGTCTCGACGGTTTCCAGACCGCCCACGAGGCTTGCAAACTGGCCAAAGCAGTGATACTTTCAATGGCGTTCTATCAGTTCTTGAAGGATTTGGGCGCTCTGGCCCCTCCTGCTTCCCGACGTTCCAAGATGGCCCAGGACGCCTCCAGCATCGCCCCAGGACAGCCCAAGAGCCCCCCAAGACGTTCCCAAAACAGCCCCAAAGGGCGCCCAAACGGCCCCAAACCCCGTCCAACACTGAAGGGGCCCCAGGACGCACAAATGAATACACGCAAATAAAAATACTCCCAATAGTCTCCCATATTTTCTGGGTTTCTGTCTTCCCCCCCACTTCCCATATTTTCCTATATTTTCTGAGGATCGCCGATTAATTGTGTCTGTGTGTTTTTTCCCGTGCTGAAGCACAGCCCCAAAGGCTCCCAGGACGGGCGCCCAGGACGAGGGACCCGCAATGAACTGTCGAGGCGTCGGCCTCGAAAAAAACTCCCACCACAGGAGGCCAACAGGCATACAGTCGGGGCCTTGACCTAAGGAACCCTAAATAAGGATTGAGGCCCCTTTTTTCCACAAGTTAACCTTCGATTTCCCATCGACAACCTAAGGAAAACCTGAGGCAAGCTGCGAAACAATCAAGGAACACCGAGCCCCTCCCCAACGAAAAAGGGTTCCTTCTCCAGGGCCCCGGCTGTACACCGACACCGTTTGCCAGACGACCGTCGACCCAAAGATCGCGTGCCCCCCCCAAAAAAAACGCGCCACCTCATAGGCTCTGTTCCCTCGCTTGTTAAACGCGCGAGGTCGGCGCATGCGCGTGGCCATCCAGTCGCTCCCAGTACAGCTTGCCCCGCAGCGACAACGGCCGCGGAAGCTTTCTTTCTTTTTTTTCTCCAACGCGCTAGACTCCCATCGAAAACCAACGTGAATATCCAGCCCTTCCAACCCGGCTGCGGCACTGGTCTGACGGCTTGTAAAGAATGCAGCTAGCAGCCAGAACCAGGCACCTCACATCGGCAACACCGCACAGCGAATGCGACTGCAATCTGCCATATGGATACCATCGCCGTGTCTGGGCAACCCGTGTGCCCAAGTACGTGCAGTAGTTAGTTGAACCCACAACTGGCGTTGAACGAAAGCACAGCATGCTTCATTCCACGGAGGTCCAGGATGTGACCGACAAACACCCAAACTAGAACAACATATTACGATCTGCAAGCGCAAGGACGGACTGGAGAAACATCCGTTGTGTGTTGCTATCTCGTTCCCCCCGCGTCTCTTTTGTTTGTTGTATGTCTTTCTCTCGATCTCCTCTCCCACTCTCTCTCTCTCTCCTCGCCTTCCGCCCGTTGCGCACAAAAAAAGCCCAAGACCACTGCCCAAACCGCTGGCGCCTTGGCTGGCCTGCAAGTGCAGAACGCCAACTCTCCGGGTCTAGGCACTTGGCGTGTTCCTCCAAACTCGCGGCCCGGCCTTAGCGAGCCACACTCGCGCGGGCCTGGCACTATTGCCAGACTGAAGGAGGCGTTAGAATGCCTGGAACTGGCCAGCACCAGAGCGATAGTCAACGGTTGGACGCTTTCGCAGAGTGTGGATGCACCAAGACATCCCAGATGGGAAGAACGGGGAAAGAGCCGAGAACCAACGACTTGCGTTGAGGGAGTGCACCATCGGTATCATGGTATTGCGGTGCCATGCGTGGTTGCCACGCGAGCCAGGCCAGTGCAGGCGCGTGGTAAGAATGCACTCAAAAAAACTTTTACCCCAAACGCGAGTCATTCAATGCAGGCAGTTCAGAAAGACTTGTGATCACAGGCGGGCATATACCCAGGTAAGAAATACACACACGCAAGCGAGCTTACGTCCATCCTGCAAGAGACCGACAAGCATCAACGACTACTCTGGGTACGTGGCGAGACCATCACGATTTCTGGCATCGTTGTGGCAACCTGCGAAAATACGTGAAAGTACCGGTTTGCACAAGCAAAACGTGAAACTACCTTGCACACTCTGCAAATACGGCCACTCATGAGACGCCAGACCGCATATGCCAGAATGCCGACGAGGGGACTGGGCGAATCATGGCATGTGTCCGTCAATACACTGTACCCGTGAATCATGGCATGTGTCTGATCTACGCACGGATGAAGGCTGAAACAACCAGTCCGACCTCTCGGCTTCGGTTCAACTCGATCAGGAGGGAGGAGGGAGGAGGGAGGAGGGAGGAGGAGGAGGAGGAGGAGGAGGAGGAGGAAGGACATCCAGGACGCGCTACAGTGGGACTTCCAGGGCTCTGGCCGCGGTACTGGCGGCGAGGACTCCGTGGACTCGACTGCGCCAAGCCATCCACCTCTAACTGTGGCAGAAGCACCGCCGAGCGATCCAGCATGCAGTCTGTACCTTGTCGTCTAGACTGGACTGTTCCAAATAAATATATGCCGAAGGAGAGCGGTGAAACATAGATTTAGCAAATGTGGCATACTACATTTATTTCTGCACATGGGGCGCTGTCGCCGATGTGAGCCCACCTTCCCGAACAGCCCCCCACAAACAAACATTCCGCCCCCACACAACCCTAAGACCAAGGCACAATCAAGACAAACCGATCTGCACCGGACAACATATCCGAAAGATCGGCGGGCGGGCTTTGAGTCTCGGGCGCCGCGGTCCTTCCAGAGCTTTCCGAAACTCTCTGGACCGACGCATCTCGATCCGGAGCCTGCCTGATCCTGGAGCGGTGTGGCCCGCTTGGCAGCGAGGCCGCGCAGCCCGCCCGCAGGACGGCCTGCGAAGGGGCCGCCGCCGCCCCCCCCCCCGCGCCAGTGAGAGGCGACCTACTGCCTGTGGGAGCCGCTGCGGCCCTTGCCCTTGCGGCCGGCGCCGGGCTGGGGCCCGCGGGCGGGGGGCCCTGGTGGCCTGCGCAGAAGGCCGCCGCGCGCGAGCCCCCGACCACGCGCCCGAGCACCTTGAGGAGCCGGGAGCTGCAGAGGCCGGCGCCGAGGCACTCCTGGAACGCCTGCTCTGCCTCGAGCGGCTGCGGCGGGCTCGAGATGCCGCACGCGGTGATGAGGGAGGCGTAGAAGTACTCGTTCAGGGAGATCCCCTTGCTCGGCAAGGACCGCATCACTGCCTTGATGGCGAAGACGTCGCCGCGGCGCGCGTGCGCCTTGCGGAGCGCGCCCCAGCTCACCTGGTCCGGCACCAGCCCGCACGAGGTCATGTGGTCCATGCAGGCCTGAGCCCGCTCCACCTCCCCACGGTTGGCGCACAAGTTCAGTAACGAATTGAACGTGATGCGGTTCGCCTGACACCCCTCCCTGATCATCTCGTTGAAGTACTTGTCGGCGAGGACCAAGTCTCCCGCCTGGGCGCATCCGTGGATGAACAGGTTGTAGGTCATCGTGGTAAGGGCGAAGCCCTCACTCTTCATCTGATTCATCCACACCTCCGCCCTGTCGAAGCTGCGACAGTTCACGCATGCCTTGATGACCGCGTTGTAGCAGATGTCGTTCGGATTCAGGCAATGGTCCTCGGTCATTGCCATCAGAATGCGTTCAGCCCTGTTCGCCTTCCCAGCCTCAGCACACGCGTTGATCAACGAGCCCATGGTGACCTCGTTGGGAACCAGGTTGGCCTTGACCATCTGCCTCAGCCAGAACTCTGCCCTGTCAACGTTGCCCTTGCGAGCGTATGCGTGGATGACGGTGTTGTAGCTGACTACGTCCGGGCTGAAAATGTCCTCCTTCATGAGCGCGTTGAGCCACTGCTCCGCCCGCATCATGCGGCCGGCCTTCGCGCAGGCGTGGATGACGGAGTTGAAGCTGAACTTGTTGGGCACGGCGTCGGCGGTGAAACTCTCGGCGAGCCACTGCTCCGCGCGGGTCACGTCCCCGGCCTGCGCACAGGCGTTGATCACGCAGGCGTGGCTGACGGAGCTCGGCTCGAAGCCGAGGGCCGCCATCCAGGACAGGGCCATGAGCACGTTGCCCGTGAGCGAGTGCGAGCGGATGACGCTGTTGAAGGTGTGCCAGTCCGGCGGGGCCCGCAGGCCGAGGGCGCGCTGCAGCAGCTGGTCCGCGCGCTGCCAGGCGCCCGGCTCGCCGCTGGCGAGCATGGACCTCAGCGACTCGGCCTGGGCGGGGTCCAGTGCGACCTGCAGGCTCGCCGGCACCCGGGCGCCGCCCGCCCGGCCCCCCTGTGCCGCGCCCGCGGCCGGGGCCTTGGGGATCTTCCGGTGCCGCCCGCGCGGGCGTGGCGGCGGCGCGGCGGCGTCGGGGGCGGGCGCGCGCCCGTGGGAGCTGGGCCCAGCCGCGGGCTCCTCGTTGCCCGCGTCCGCACCGAATGCGGGGGCGGCCGCGTCGTCGGCCTGCCCGTCCGCGCCTGCGGGGCCACCGGCCTGCGCCTGACAGGGGCCGGCGGCGCCGGGATCGGCTGGGGGAAAGAATGCCCCAGGGGGGCCCGCGAGCCGGGTGCGGGGCACCGATGTGCAGGTGATATCGATACCCTCCTGTAATGGTTCGAATCGTGGAGAGCCCATGTCTGAGTGCCCGTGGGTGTAAACAGGTCCCAAGACAGTGGCCACGACGAGGGGCCGGGTGATCACCCTTGGCGGCCGTCGTCGCGGCTGGGCTGAAGCGCGGTGCAAAGACCACAGGCCACAGCTGCAGTGGGGCTTGAGCCAAAATGGCTACGGAACGGCCGCGGAAGCTTTCGGCGCGACAACTTCCAGTGCCCTCTCGGGCCGCTCTCGGGGGCATCTTGGGGGCCCCAACGAAACCCCAGCGGCCCCCAGGAGGGTCCCAGGAGAGCCACGAGAGGGTTCCACACGCGACCCCATTGATCCCCTGGTCCAGATCCACAGCCTTGGGGGCCGTTTGGAGCTTCCCAGACGGCCCAGGAAAGCCCCAGGAGGGCTCCAAGAGAGCCACAAGAGGGGTCCAATTCCACGGCACGGAGTTCGAAGCGATCACTTGCAGGGCCTTCTGTGGAACCTGGTGGGGCCCCTAAGACGGCCCCATAAAAGCCCTCTCAAGGCCGCGTGAGGGTTCTATCAACAACATCCCGATGTTATTATCCCATCCAGGGTACCATGCTTCGCTCGTGATCGACGGGCCGTTTTTGCTACAGTCCCCCCCCTCGTGCACGAGGGGGGCGCTGTTGCTACAAGTCCGCTTCATGAGCCTTTCTGCTACAATCCGCCCTCACGCACGAGGGCGGTGCCTCCGCTTCAGAGCCCTCTCACGCACAAGGGAAAGAGGGCCCTGGGAGTTGTCACTTTCACGGGCGCTGGAAGTGACAACTTCAAGGTGCCTCCTGGGGCCCTCTCACGCCTTTTCGGGGCCCTCCTGAGGCTCTCCCGACGTATCGAGGCCTGGAAGGCCCCGAGAAGCACCCAAAGGCTTCCAGAGGGCCCAGTGCCAGGGGAGGCGTCCCTAAAATGTCTTGCAAGCTTACAGGGGGCCCAGGGGCTGGGCGAGGGCCAGACCTGGCGTTGACGACGGCCGTTTCCACGTGGGTCGCCTGTGAAAATAACAGAACGCACGCCACAACCGCAAGATTGGTGTATACTGGAAACTGCTACAAACCAGCGGAAAATCAAGTATACCCCGATTCTGGTATACACCGATGACCAACAAAAAGTCTGAACAACAACTTGTTCTTGCACAGGTTAGCTCGCGCGCGCGAGCGAAACAAGCGAAGGTTTGCAACGCCAGGTCGCGCCACCTCCCCCAACCCTCGCCCCCGCGGTGGAAATCTGGGACTGCGCTTCCAAGGGGCGCGCCTGCGGAAGCCAGTGAACGATGCCGTTCCTGGGAGTAGCTAGCATACCCTTCGGAAGGCCCCCAGGATTGTCTCGGGGGGGGGGCCCTGGGAGTTGTCACTTTCACGTAGGAGACCGATTTCTGACCACACCCACTTCCCGAGGTGCCTTGCGAAAGGCGGTTTCCAGAGGTGGAGGTGGGCAGCTTCCCCGCCCCAGGGGAAGGAAAAACTACCCACTTCCACCCCCGAGGGCCCATTATAGAATCGAGGATCCACAGGTGGATGTGGTCAGAAATCGGTCTTCGATCACGGGCGCTGGAAGCGATAAATGTACGATCCTTCCGGGGTCCTCTCGAGCCTTCTCGTGGCCCTCCTGACGCCATCCCGAAATCGCGGGGAGGCCCTGGGAAGGCCCCGAGAAGAACCCAGAAGGCTTCAAGAGGGCTCCGAGAAAACCTCACGAATGCCTCGAGAAGGCCCCTCTTAGATGCTCCCAGCACCGCGTTGCGGAAGGCTTCCTGGAAATCTAGGAGGGGCTCTCTTGGGTTTCTCTCGGGCCTTCTCGGAGCTCTCCCGACTCCCTCCGAGATGTCCGGAAGCCCTGGGAGGCAGCCAGGAAGCCCCAGGAAGGCCCCAAGAGGGCCCAAAGAAAGCCTCCAAAGGGCCCCTCCTAGAAGTTCCCGGCACTACGTTTCGGCAGGCTTCCTTGAAGCATCTGGGAGGGGGCCTCTTGGATTTCTCTCGAGCCGTTTTCCGAACTCTCTCGAAGCTTTCCGAAGGGCCCGAAGAAGCCCTCGGAGGCCCCCAAATCAGCCCAGGATGGCTTCAAGGGAGGCCTGGTGGTCGAGAACAAAAATAGGCTCAGCTCACCAGTGGGCATCCCACGCTGGCGCGAGTAACCAGTTCAATCGAGGGCCCAGGTTTTCCGGTAATTCTTTGGCATCAATGACTTGGGGACGGGGGATGGGGAAATCTTCTTGGGGCGTGAAGCCCTTCTCCGAATGGAGGGATGGTTGACCCCCCTAGATCAGCGGGAGAGGAGGAACGATTTTCGCGCGCTGTCGGAAGGGGGCTAGGGGGGGAAATGGCACAGTTTTAACGTTCAAGTTTCTGCGCCAGGAGGGTTGGCCGAGTAGGGTCGGCAATCCCCGGGGTGGGCTTGGGAATTATGGGGCGGTCGCGGGCGGGAAAAAATGAAACACCGATTCCCAACTCAACACTTGCACTGAACGGGCCTCCGCGGAGATTGAAAACGCATGCGAACATGTCATGCCAATTTGGGCGCGCGACCAAGTTCCCGGCGTTCACGGGCTTCGAATTCCGGATCTTCCACAAGACGACATTCGAGGGCCCAGGGAGGGGCCCCAGAGGAACCATTCTGATCTCGCACAGTTGCCCCCTCGCGCGAGATTGTCGCGGCTCTGCTGACCCCTTCTCGGGGCCGTCTCGGGCCCCTCTGGGACGGCGCCGGGGGGGAGGCCTCGGAGGGCCCCGGGAGGGCCCCAAGAGGGCCCAAGAGGAGTCAACGTGAAGTCATGAAAGAGCCCTCTCGCATGTCTTCATCTTGTCTCCTCTTGAGCCCCGCATGGGTCATCCCAGGGTTCCTTTCGAGACCCTCGCAGGCCTCTGGTATAGTTCAAACAGGGCTCGAGAGAACCCCGAGAGGGCGCCTCCCAGATGCTCCCGGGGAGCCTTCCGAAGCGCAGCGCCAGGGACATCCAGAAAAATACATTATCGAAGCTCTCCTGGAGCCTTCTTAGGCCCCCCTTTCGAGTCCGCCTTCCATTTATTTCCCACTCTGGCCCCTTGTGGTCCAAGTATTTCCTCCCCGTCCTCCACCTCGCCCCTTCCTCCTCCATTCCCTCGCCCCACAGATGTTTCTGTTGTTCGTTTCGTCGGCCTTGCGCCAATCGTTAATCGACCGCCATGTGCAAAATATGTTTTCGAACTCCACGAATCAGGCGTCGGTGCATGCTTGTTGGCCTCCGACACCACGCCCTCAGCCGCTCCGGAAGAGGCCACTTCGAAGCCCCCAGGAGCGCCCACGAGGCCCACCTCGCCGCGACGAATCGCCGCGAGCCGGATCGCGAAGCGGATCGCGAGCTCGTCGAAACCAGTCGCGGACCGCATCGCGAGCGGGCGGAACCGAACCGGGAGCCGGATCGCGGGCGCGACTATCCTCCCGCCCCCGAGGGCGCGCTAGATCCTTTGGCCACGGGAGGGGGTCTGGAAGGGCATCCGTGCCGCCGTCATGAAAACCCTGACCGAATTCCCCTGCTGTTCGCCTCCTCCCTCTCCTCCCCCTCCTCCACCTCCTCCTCCTCCCCCCCCTCCTCCTCCGCCGCCTCCTCCTCCTCCTCCTCCCCAATCCTCCTCCGCCTCGTCCTCCCCCTCCTCTTCCCTCTCCCTCCACCCTCTCTCCTCCTCCTGCTCCTCCCCCTCCTCCTCCTCCGCCCCCCCCGCCCCCCGCCCCTCCTTCCCTTCCCCCGCCCCCCCCCCCTCCCCCTCCTGCTCCCGCCCTCCCTTTTCCCTCCCTCCCCCGTGGCATCCGAGCCGCCGTCGTGAGACCTTCGGCCTGCGCCCCCCTGTGCCGCCGCCCTCGCCGCCCCCCCCCCCCGAGGCGCTCGCGCGCAAGGGCACGGCGCCGGCGCGCGGGCCCCGAGGGGCGAGGAGCAGCGGGGCCCGTAGGGGAAGCCAGGGCAAGCACGGGGGCCCCGTCCGTGGCCACTGTTCAGTGCTCGTCGATGGTTCGTCGAGTTCGCGAGGGGCCTTCGATCCACAGCAGTTATTGGAGGAGGAGGGGGAGGAGGAAGAGGAGGAGGAGGAGGAGGATGAGGAGGAGGAGGAGGAGGAGGGTATTCCTCGATTTCGGCCTCCGGGGGCACCAAGGCCAGCAGAAGCGTGCCCGGACAGCGAGGCGAGCCCCGGACAGTTTTCTTCGTCCCCTCCTCCTTCTCCTCCCCCCCCGCCTTCCAGCCCCGCCCCCGTGGAGCTCGGCCGCAGGATTGCAAAAAAACGAAGGATTGCAAAAAACCTTCTGTTTTTTTTTGCAATCAATAAAGCCATGTTTTTTTTGCAATCCTGTTTTTTTTTGTTTGCAATCCGAGGATCTCTGCACGAACTTCGAGCCCGAATCCGCAGGACGCCCACTCCTTCCTGGCAGAAGGGCGTCCCTCTGTCCGTCGTGAGACTATCGAAGGATTGCAAAAAAAACCCAAGAACGAAGGATTGCAAAAAAACCCTTCGAAGGATTGCAATCCTTCGTATCGAAAGATTGCAATCCTTCGTATCGAAGAGCTTTTTTTTGCAATCCTTCGTATCGAAGGATTGCAATCCTTTGTTTTTTTGCAATCCTTCGTTCCAGGGCCATGCCACTGTCCAGGGCTGGAGGCCGAGGACCAGTGTCGAGGACAGGCGCGCTCCAGCACTCGCGAGGTAGCTGCTCGCAGGGGGCCGTGATCCGCCGCAGGGAGATCTATGATCCACTACAAAGAGGAAGACCTGTTTTTGTTGTTCTCTCTGACGTTTGTGAGAGGGCCTGCCAGTGCTGTTTCCTCCTCGTCCTTCTCCTCCTCGCTTTCGCCCTCCTCCCCCTCGTCGTCCTCCCCCCCCCTTCGCCGCCGCCGTCGTCGCTGTCGGTGTCTGCACGGCGTCTTCTTGTTTCGCAGCCGCGCCTCCGGCAGCGGAACTTGCTTGCTGTTTCACTCATTTGCCAACGCACCTCTGACGTGCACGGCGCTTCTCTCTCTCTCTCTCTTGTGAGAGGGCACTCTGCGAGTAGCGGAACTCGCCCGGTGAGATAGAGGATCAGGGTCTCGAGGTCGAGGATCAGGGTTTGGGATCGAGGTCCGAGGCTTGGAGGTCGAAGACCAACGCTCGGAGGTCAGTCCCTGGAAGACCGAGTATATACCTTCCGTCAAGCCAGCGAGGGGAGAAGGCCTCGTCGCCGCTGAACTCGTCGGAGTGCGCGTCCCGAGACTCCTCCCGCCGGATCTGGCGCTCCAGCGCCTTGTAGTCCACCTGCGGCGCAGCTGGGAGTCGTAGTCGCCGCCGTTGAGCTTCGACCCTTGAGCTTCGACCCTGGATCCTCGAGCTTCGAATCGAACAGTCCAACGGATCGAATTTCGACCCCCGACCGAACAACCCAACTTTGATCCTCGAACTGCGACCACCATTGGCGGGGGGGCGGGGGGCAAGGCCCGAAGGCAATTTCGACTTCACGCCAGCCGTTTCGGCCCAGCGCTGTTCAAAATGATGGCAGCGAAAGGGTGGGGGAGGGGAGATGGAATGCAAATAACTTCGCATTATTCTACATGCAAAATTTCGGAAGCCCGGAATGGGAACGGGAAACATGTGTACAATACGAGCGCGTTTCTTTATGTTCGGCGATGACGGGCGTCATGGGGGGGGGTATGACGTAACACCCCCCCCGCCGTGTGGCTCCGGCACCGCAGCCGCGCCCGCGCGCGCGACGCGACGAGCGACGAGCGACGACGACGACGACCACGACGACGACGATCACGACGACGACAACCACGACGACGACGATCACGAGGACGACGACGACGTCGACGACGTGAGCAGCATGTAGGTGGCGATATGCCCCACTGCGACGCCTGTGTACACCACAACGATCGCATGCACCACAACGCGCGTGTATACCACAGCGCCTGCGTACACCGCAACAACCGTGTGCAACGCAGCGCCTGTGTACACCACAATGCTTGCGCAATGCTTGCGTACACTACAGCGCCGGCGTACAATTGCACGCGCGTGCGCATCTCAGCGCGCACCGCAGAATGGTATATTGAATTGGTCCACTTGGTTCTCGGACGGCCAATTTAACTGGAACCTCCTGGACGCAAAGGGAGGAGTTAGGGTGATGCGGGCGGACTCGGGAAGACACGTAGATTCCAGCGGCGCTCCGTTGTCCATAAGGATTGTTACCTAACAGCGAAGACTGATAGGTTTCTAGTAGGGTCAAAAGAGAACATCATGACGCCCCAGGGGGGTCTGGGCGGGATCCGGGGGAATGCTGGGGATTCTTTTTTTTGCCAGCAATTACACACTTCGTGGTCTTCGAGGTCCCAAAACTCCATTCACGGGTCACATTCTGAATGCCCGGAGCCAACTGTAGGCCGCTTCGTGCTCTTCGAGTTCCCAGAACTCCATTCCCGGGCCACATTTTGAATGCCCAGAGCCAACTGTAGGCCACTTCGTGCTCTTCGAGTTCCCAGAACTCCACTCCTGGGCCACATTTTGAATGCCCGGAGCCAACTGTAGGCCACTTCGTGGTCTTCGAATTCCCAGAACTCTATTCCTGGGCATGATTATGAATGCCCGGAGCCAACTGTAGGCCACTTCGTGTTCTTCGAGTTCCCAGAACTCAACTCCCGGGCCACATTTTGAATGCTGAGGCAGGCTGATGCTGAGGCTGAGGCAGGCTGAGGCTGAGGCTGAGGCAGGCTGAGGCTGAGGCCGAGGCTGAAGGCAGACTGAGGCTGAGGCTGAAGCAGGCTGAGGCTGAGGCTGAGGCAGGCTGAGGCTGAGGCAGGCTTCAGGCAGACTGAGGCTGAGGCTGAGGCTGAGGCTGATGCAGGCTGAGGCTGAGGCAGGCTGAGGCTGAAGGCCGAGGCTGAAGGCAAACTGAGGCTGAGGCTGAAGCAGGCTGAGGCTGAGGCTGAGGCTGAGGCAGGCTGAGGCTGAGGCTGAGGCAGGCTGATGCTGAGGCAGGCTGAGGCTGAAGGCAAACTGAGGCTGAGGCTGAGGCTGAGGCAGGCTGAGGCTGAGGCAGGCTGAGGCTGAGGCCGAGGCTGAAGGCAGACTGAGGATGAGGCTAAAGCAGGCTGAGGCTGAGGCTGAGGCAGGCTGAGGCTGAGGCTGAGGCAGGCTGATGCTGAGGCAGGCTGAGGCTGAGGCTGAGGCTGAGGCTGAGGCTGAGGCTGCAGGCTGAGGCTGAGGCAGGCTGAGGCTGAGGCCGAGGCTGAAGGCAGACTGAGGCTGAGGCTGAAGGCTGAGGCTGAGGCTGAGGCAGGCTGAGGCTGAGGCTGAGGCAGGCTGATGCTGAGGCAGGCTGAGGCTGAGGCTGAGGCGCAGGCTGAGGCTGAGGCAGGCGAGCTGAGGCCGAGGCTGAGGAGGCTGAAGCAGGCTGAGGCTGAGGCAGGCTGAGGCAGGCTGAGGCTGAGGCAGCTGAGGCTGAGGCTGAGGCTGAGGCTGAGGCTGAGGCTGGCAGAGGCTGAGGCTGAGGCTGAGGCTGAGGCTGAGGCAGGCTGAAGGCAGACTGAGGCTGAGGCAGGCTGAGGCTGAGGCTGAGGCAGGCTGAGGCTGAGGCTGAGGCAGGCTGATGCTGAGGCAGGCTGAGGCTGAGGCTGAGGCTGAGGCTGAGGCTGAGGCAGGCTGAGGCTGAGGCCGAGGCTGAAGGCAGACTGAGGCTGAGGCTGAAGCAGGCTGAGGCTGAGGCTGAGGCAGGCTGAGGCTGAGGCTGAGGCAGGTGAGGCTGAGGCAGGCTGAGGCTGAGGCTGAGGCTGATGCAGGCTGAGGCTGAGGCAGGCTGAGGCTGAGGCCGAGGCTGAGGCAGACTGAGGCTGAGGCTAAAGCAGGCTGAGGCTGAGGCTGAGGCAGGCTGAGGCTGAGGCTGAGGCAGGCTGATGCTGAGGCAGGCTGAGGCTGAGCCTGAGGCTCATGCAGGCTGAGGCTGAGGCAGGCGGAGGCTGAGGCCGAGGCTGAAGGCAGACTGATGCTGAGGCTGAAGCAGGCAGAGGCTGAGGCTGAGGCAGGCTGAGGCAGGCTGAGGCTGAGGCAGGCTGAGGCTGAGGCTGAGGCTGAGGCAGGCTGAGGCTGCGGCAGGCTGAGGCTGAGGCCGAGGCTGAAGGCAGACTAAGGCTGAGGCTGAAGCAGGTTGAGGCTGAGGCTGAGGCAGGCTGAGGCTGAGGCTGAGGCAGGCTGAGGCTGAGGCAGGCTGAGGCTGAGGCTGAGGCTGAGGCTGAGGCTGAGGCTGAGGCTGGGGCAGGCAGAGGATGAGGCCGAGGCTTCAGGCAGACTGAGGCTGAGGCTGAAGCAGGCTGAGGCTGAGGCTGAGGCAGGCTGAGGCTGAGGCTGAGGCTGAGGCTGAGGCTGATGCAGGCTGAGGCTGAGGCTGAGGCTGAGGCTGAGGCCGAGGCCGACGGCAGACTGAGGCTGAGGCTGAAGCTGGCTGAGGCTGAGGCTGAGGCAGGCTGAGGCTGAGGCTGTGACTGCGACTTCCGTTGCCACTGCGACAGTCATCGCGAATGCGACTACGACTGCGAGAACAGCAGAATTCTACAACTGGATTTTCATCTGAATATTAAGGGGAATGCTTCCAGATGTGCTCCTACACATCGCTGTTAGGTTGCTTTGCCGGGATAATTTTATACTGTTTTCTGTGGAATCCACAAGCGCCCCATTTTGTCATAAGGATTCGTTCTCACATTCTATATATACAAAAATGGAGCTGTGCTGCACACGGTTGTTGTGGTGCACACAGGCGCCGTGTACACAGACACTGCAATGCACGCAGGCATTGTGGTGTATACTGGTGCTGTGTTTCACACGGCTGATGTGATGAACGCAAGCGCTGTGGTGTGCACAAGAGCTGTTGTGCCCGCAGGCACGGTGGCACAAACTGACGCTGTGTTGCACGCGGCTGCTGTGGTGTACATAGGCGGTGGTGTGCACAGGCGCTGTGGTGCACGCCGGCACTGTGGTGTACACAGGCGTTGTGGTGCAAATCGCCACCTACATGTTGGCGCTACCCGTCCCCCGTCATTCCTAGGCATTCCCAAACGCCGCTGGCGCGAAACGTGACGTCATCGACCCCCTTCCATCCCCCCCTAGATGATTGCCGTCATCGGCCCAGAATGGAAAACAGGCTTCAGCCGCGTTCGCGCGCACGACGCCTATGAGCGACGAGCGGCAAGCCATGAGCGACGACGACGACGACGACGACGACTGTGGACCAGACTCCTATGCGGATTCCTACACGGACACCTACGCGGATCCCAATGCGCACAGCGGCACTGCTCGGAGCGCACTGGGGGGCAGTGCCCGGAGAGCACTGGAGGGGGGAGCGTTACGTCATAGGGGGGGGGGAGGGGCCGGGGGCCATGACGCCCGTCATGCCCCAAACAATAAAGAAACGGGCTGTACCCAACAACAAATGTCGCCCACACGAACCAGCGACCGCTGCTGGGCAGGCGGCCTTCTGTCTCAAATAGACAACGCCCGCAGGGGCACCGACAGCGAGTCCTGCCCAACATGGACAAGATTCCTGTGACAAGACATGCCGTCGGTCTTAGTACCCCACTCTTTCGGGGAAACCGCGGGGTACGGGAGGCATTCTGACCAGGATTTCGGGGCGAATGCAACGGTGGCAAGGAGGGCCGCCCAGAAGGCTCAAAAACAGGAAAACGAAGGAACGGTAGCGGTACAAGTACCTTTCTTTCCTTGTAGCTTCCCGTGCCACTTTCGATAGTCCCGAACATGTTCCTGGCCGTTGGTTGACGGCCCCAGGGCCTGGTCAAGGCCCTAGAAGCCGACGCGTTGCAACGACGGCCGCGTTTTTTTTCACGGCGCAAGGTCGGCACTGGGGTCCCCACACGGGCCATCAGGCGGCCGCGTCGGACGATCCTGTATCTCCAGAGCGCCCTCGAAGAAGCGCAGCTGCTGGAGAGCACATCTGGCGAGAAAACTTCCAGGGCACAACGAAACACATAAACAACTTCGCCCCTCAATGCCGACTTCTAACAAGAAACATCCGGCGCGATGCTTGGGAACCCGTATAGATATACATATAAATGTATACATATATGATTATAGGTATATGCACACACATCCATGTGAATATATCCAGTTGCGCATACACGAACTGATAGGATGAACGTCTCAGTGCCCACTGCGCTGTGCGCGGTGGCTTTGGCGAACGTGGTACAAGCAAAACTGATCGTATGAACGCGCGATAAAGATGCAGGCCCTTTGGGAAACCGTGTTGAGGCTTTCCAAGC